TTATTTCCCACGGCAGCTGTGCTTCCCCTCTCTCCCGGGGGTGCTGAGGGCTTGGCAGGATGCTGGGGTGGGGACCCCGAAGCCTTGCACCCAGAGAGACGCCTGGCTCCCAGGGAAAGCCAGCTGAGCCAGACACGGACGCCCGAGGCCAGACACTCGTGGCACCCCGCTCCCTGAGCACCCCGGACACCGACACAGCAGGGGATGGGGCTCTTCGCTCCTTCGAGGTGGGACAGGATCTGGGAGCAATTCCCCAGCGGCACCAGGAGCAGAGGCCGAGGCTGCCAGGGTTGGGGAGCTGGGTCATTGCTTCCCACCCCCTCCCGCTTTTCCCCGGATGCTGTAGCGGAGCTGGTGCCAGGAGCGCGAGGCCATCTGGAAACGCTCACGGACAGCAGCAAGGGACCCCGCCGGAGACAAAGCCCAGCGCTTCGGCCAGGCCGGCTCGCCGCCGGCCACCCACGGGCGCAGCACCCCAGGGAGGCACCTGCTGCAAGGGACACGGCTTTTGGTGGCTCCGAGGAGCACATGTCCTGCTCAGCCCTGCCAGGATCCACCCCCACCAGGCAGCTCCCAGCTTCCCAAAAATAGTCCGGAGAAGCCCAGCCTGGAAAAGCCCCCCGGGATCTCGGCGTCCTCCAGGTCCTGCCGTGCCGGGGTGGTTCTGGCTGCTGCGGGACAGGGCTCCACGCACCGCCGGACCAGGGTGAGCAGGGCTGGCAGGGACTCTCTGCACGCTGGGAACCATCACAGGAGCAACTGCGCTTCCTCCTGCCTCCTCCTCTTCCTCTGCAAGCAGGGCATGGTCCCCCATACGCCACCAAGGAGAGGACCCGGAAAGCAGAGAGGAAGCCGGGCCCGGCCCAGAGGAAGGACCGGGGCCGGGATACATCAAGCAGCATCCAGACGGCCTCAAGGCCAGCGGAAACGACGCTGGGGACAGAGGGAAGAGCTGCGGAGCCCCGGGAGGGGTTGAACCCACTGCCAGCACAGCCCTGCCGTGGGTGGGACGCACCCGCTGGCCCCGGCACAAGCGCCCATCACCTCCCCTCACGCCAGCCCTGCAGCCACCAGCCCGCTCCCCGTGGTGCCGGACCCTTCGTTTCACAGGGAAGAAAACCACGTCTGGGGCTGCGGGGGCAATGCACGAGGCGACGGCGGAGCAGAGTGCCTGTGCGTCTGCTTCAGCACAACTGAGCATCCATCACCTCCTCACCTCGAGCGGCTCCCAGGCTTTCCCCGCCGCCTCCCCCGGCGCACAGCCACTCCC